TTGAAGGAAATCCTGTCACATGATACAGTATGGGTCAACCTTGAGGACTTCAGGATCAGTGAAATAAGCCAGTCACAAGAAGATAAATACTGTAGAATTCCACTTATATGAGGTACTGGAGCAGTCAAACTCAGAGACAGAAGGTGGAATCGTAGGTGCCAGGGAGAAGGGGAATGGAGAGTTGCTTAATAGGTAGAGTTGATTATAATGTTTTCAGTTTTGCAACATGAAAACATTCTGCCGGTCTACAGTACTAATGTGAATATAGGTAACACTATTGAACACTTAAAGATGGTTAAAAATGGTAAATTTTAGAGTATGTGTGTTTTTTTTTTTACCACAGTTAAAAAAGATTTTTTATTTTTTTTCAACGTTTTTTTATTTATTTTTGGGACAGAGAGAGACAGAGCATGAACAGGGGAGGGGCAGAGAGAGAGGGAGACACAGAATCGGAAACAGGCTCCAGGCTCCGAGCCATCAGCCCAGAGCCTGACGCGGGGCTCGAACTCACGGACCGCGAGATCGTGACCTGGCTGAAGTCGGACGCTTAACCGACTGCGCCACCCAGGCGCCCCAAAAAAGATTTTTTAAAAGATAGTGTTGAGTTAAAAGCCTTAGTAAAAATTTCATTTTTATTCTGCTATTAAGGAATGACTGACAAGGAAAGAATTTTCAAATTTGATAAAGGAACTTGCTGGCTGTATTTATCTTCACTTTTTACTCCTGCTGGAGTAACGAAAACAGATCACTTTGTTTAATTTTGTGATTATTTTTACTTCCTGGTTCCTGCCTGATTATGCAATGCTGTTGGTTACAAATAGAAAAAAATTTTATGTGCTAGTCTGTTATTTTTATGGCATTTCATTAGGGTGTACTGGCCTGAGAAATGTTTCTACTTATATCAAGTTTTTATGAAAAATTCTAAAAAATTGTAATTTTAGGGCCTGGGCCATTAGTTATCTTCCCTAAGGGCTAGGAGTTGATGCTATTTAATATTTCCAAGCTTATTCTTATTTTAACTGGTTTTACATCATACCAGCTTTCTCTTTCAACCAACTTAAAAGGTCATAGAATATTTCTTGAGTAAATCACAAAATCTTTCATAGAGGTTTTTTTTTTTTTTTTCTTTACACTACTCCAAAATGTAATCGTTACTTGGAATGGGTCTCTGACAATTTGATACAAGATAAACTAAAAAGGACAGGCGTTCATTTGCAATCATGTACAATAGGTCAACTCTGAGAATAGCTACTATTCTAAACATATACCATGTGCCTTCCTGAGTTATCATCTCTGCTTTTAAACATAATCACTAGATGCATTTCTAAGCATGTTAAAGGCACAGTAACATCCATTTTCTATAACTTTACCCTAAGCCTGATGGGACTTCAGTGTTAGATTTATATGATGCCTTTAAAAAAAAATTTTTTTTAATGTTTATTTATTTTTGAGACACAGAGCATGAGCAGGGGAGAGCAGAGAGAGAGAGGGAGACACAGAATTCGAAGCAGGCTCCAGGCTCTGAGCTGTCAGCACAGAGCTCAATGCAGAGCTGGAACCCACAAACTGTGAGACGATGACCTGAGCTGAAGATGGTTGCTTAACCTATTGAGCCACCCGGGTGCCCCATAAGATACCCTTGAATACTGAGAATGAGGCAGTGGTTAAGATGGCAAAGCCTCCAGGTCACTGGCAATTACTTCTAATTATAAAGCTGCATTGTATTTACTTTATTCTCTGGTTAACCAGGAAGATGATGTGCAGACAGTTGCTGTATACAGTAGGGCCTCCTCACTAGGGCCTGAATGGCAACTACATCTAGCTCCATAAAAATAAGGAGGAGACACAGTCAGCTTGGAGCCGACTTTCAGTCTTATCCACCACCTTCATACATTACCTTATTTTATCCTTTTAGTTATTCTTTGAAGTTGTCAGAGAAAGAAACTGAAGTCCAAAGAAATTAAGTGATTTATTCAAGGTCACATTCATTCACTTTTCATTCATTCATTATTCACCGATCAAAGTTGCCTGTGTGCGTAACTAGGCACGGGAAATACAACTGTGAACAGAAACTAATCCTGCATTCCATGCTCTTCCAGTCCAAAGGAAGAATTAGATAAGGAAACATGATTACCATATGGGACTTGTCTTTGGATGGCTTACCCTGTGTGCTAATCATTTTACTGTTCCCTAGGTGTCCAGCACTCTTTCAGCATGTTCCTATCCTGGCTCACTAATCTCATCTTCTGTTTTGTGCATGTGCGAGTGAGAATAATGGTTATATATATGGGCACACACATAAACATATAATATGAAATATGTGTTTGTCTTTTAAGGTACAGGATTCCTCTATCTTCCATGCCATTAAAGGATCGTAGAGCTGTCTCCTTTACTAAGAGACCCATTGGCTCCCAGGAAATCTCATCCAGTTTCAGCCCTGGTAGTGACAGTACAGTGTCAAGGAAAGAATGCTAATGATTTTTCCACTAGCTGATCCCAAAAGCTTGGCACAGGAGAGTTCAGTCCACTGAATATTTATATAGCACCTTGATTAAAAGAGCTCAAAGCAATATTCTAAGTAGCTGAATTATAACCTCATTTTGTAAACTGCGTATTTTCTTTTAAGTAGTAGTAACGTGGGGCTTAAACTCACAACCCTGAGATCAAGAGTCAGAAGCCTAACAAACTGAGCCACTCAGACGCCCCATTAGCTGTGTATTTCAAATACAAAAATTAGCTCCTTTACCAACCTCATTATCTGCTAAAAATAATCAAAAGATAAATTTCATAGAAAGGAGGCCAGAAGAAAAATTGTAAATGGTGATAATCTCTGGGTAGGGGATTATACATGTTTTTAATTATCTGCCGTATTACTCAAAATTTCTACAATTAACACTATGGATTTTTCAATCAGAAAAAATACCACATAATCAATTAAAAACAGGTCATCAAACTCAACCTCACTCATAAATCTAAAAATACAAATTAATTCTTTCAACTTATCATACTGACAAAGATGTTATAAAGCCAGTATACCTAGTTTAGGCAACAGAATAGCAAACTGGGCTCTGTCATACACAACTGATGGGATTACAAATTATCACCAGTTTTTTGGAGAGTAATCTGGCAATGTCTATCTATCAAAAGTTTAAATGCCCATACCTCTGAATACAATAATGCTACTTCTAAGGTTTTTTGTTTTTTGTTTTTTCTTTTTTTGCCTGACACATATACTTGCATCAGAGTACAAGACACATATAGAGGGATCTTCAATCAGGAGCGTGTTAATCAAATTGTGCTACATGCATGTAGTGGAACATTGTTTAAGAATTAGATACTTGCAACTGTTAAGAACAACTCTATATGGACATATTATTATAATTTACTCTTTGATGCAAAAAAGCAAATTGCAGGGGCGCCTGGGTGACTCAGTCGGTTGAGCGTCTGACTTCAGCTCAGGTCATGATTTCACAGCTCGTGAGTTCGAGCTCTGCATCGGGCTCTGTGCTGACAGCTCAGAGCCTGGAGCCTGCTTCAGATTCTGTGTCTCCCTCTCTCCACCCCCCCCCCCCACCCTTGCTCATGCACTCTCTGTCTCTCTCTCTCAAAAATGAATAAACATTTAAAAAATTTTTAAAAAGCAAGTTGCAGAATGGTGAATACAACCCCCTTTGTACACAGTTTTAAAAGGCTGTAAATACACATATGCGCTTGTGTGCACAATGAAAATGTCAGCAAGAATATTCCAAAAGCTAGCTTTGGAAATACCTCAAACAAGGGAGAAGACTGAAGTAGGTGAGGGATTTTTGTTTTTTTAAACAAATATTGCTTGATATCATTTGACTTCTGTTACATTGAGCTATATGTTCATTTTTAACAGTTTTATTGGGGCATAATTCACATACCACACAAATTCACCAATTTAAAGTGGTTTTTAGTGTAGTCACACAATGTTTCTTAATATATCCACAGAGCCGTACAATCATCAGTGTGCAAAGATGTACACATCCGAAACTCATATAATGTTATATACCAAATTTACCTCAATAAAAAAATGTTGTTGGGAAGATGCTCCAAAAGTGAACTTACTAGTGGCAAGAGAATGTGTAAGACACAATCAGAGAAAGTTTCACATTTATTTAAGAGAGATAGAAAAAGTGCAAGTGGGGGAAGAGCAGACAGAGAGGCAGAGAGAGAATCCCAAGCAAGCTCCTTGCTGTCAGCCCCGAGCCCAACATGGGGCTCGAACTCACGAAGCTATGGCATCATGACCTGAACTGAAATCAAGAAACGGATGCTTAAACAACTAAGCCACCAAGGAGCCCCACAATCTGAGAGAGTTTAAATAGTAATGGAATGGTATGCATAAACAAGGAGAAAAAGATATGAGAGCCAACAAAGTTGGAGAGGGTCAGGGACAGAAAAAAGGTACGATGTTAAAATGAGTTTGAACCAGAAACATACTAGATCCGCCTTCATTAAATAAACACATCTGTATTTTGTAACAAAAAGATCAAGGTAAGATATTTGGGCATGATAAGAAAAAGAAAATAAAGAAACTTAATGTGATGGTACTGCAAATATTTGGGTAAACCAGATTCTATATAAATCTGCAGGTAGCTGGATATAAATTCCATCTATGGAAGACACAGATAAAAAGCGTTTAGGGAAATATATTCACTTTGTAGTTGCTAGAAATTTCTCCTGTCTTAGGAAGGCTGACAGTGAGATACTAAGCAATGAATACTTACTGAACATCAATAATGTTCTGATTTGCTTAAGAGTATCTGAGAATATAAGGGGAACTGGATAGAGAGAAAAGGGCTCCCAAGACATACTGACAGACTTAATAACCACAAACCATGCAGGAATATTCTTTTTGGCTCAAAGTTTTGTATGTTTTTAGACAAAGGATGAGAAAACATATATTTGAAAGATATTTTATGAAAACATTCAGCAAAACTCACATTTAATCTCTGTAATATTTAAAATAAAATTACCTTTTCTCTGAGACTTTTCCATCACTAAAATCTTCTTTGAGCACTACAGGTCTTGGGAGTATTTTGTATGTATCATCATATTTTCCTTTTTCATATCTTTAAAAAGCACAGTTCAGAAGTTTTGTGCAGTTGGAGGAGTTTCTGGCAGCAGTAAGAGAAAACTTTATTGCTTATCCTATAAAATCTATTAGTTTGGGTACTATTAACTCTTATTTACTTAATTAGGGCAGTGCAGTGACTGTAGCAATTACTTTGGTTCAACATCAATAAAATAATGGAAATGTATACAGGATAGCCACACCCATGGAAAAAATCTGTTTTTACTAAGGAATAAATGTCAGATTAAAGATAAAAGTCACCAGTTTTTGAATTAGGAAACTGCAAAGCAAGGCTGGGGCAATAATTTATGACAATTAAAAATTTAAGATCAGTCTGTTATCTGATGGACGGATCATCTTTAAGAGTATCTTAAGTAGTAAGTTTTAAAAATCTGTTGACTGTTCAAAATCACTCACCCTGTGGCTAACAGATGACATAACTGATTGGATACCAAATCAAGCAACAAGGAATCCTTGAGAACAAGTTATCCTTTGAAGTATTATAAAATGGTTTTTCTATGTCTACGTGTGTGTGTGTGTGTGTGTGTGTGTGTGCATGTTAACACATTTTACTGGGCATTCATGTACTGCGTATGCTGGAGACTGTTGCCAACAACATAATCATCTCTATAAATGCTCTGATTGACTATAACATCTTAGGAAACCATATGAAAATAGAAAATGTTACTATCTCTGGTAATATGCCATGTAGGACAATGATAGGACTATAATTCTTAGTTATTCATTTGCTTAAAGGTAAAATTGCTTTATCAAACAGGTTACCTAAGTCTTGTCCTGTGACTGTGACAACAAATTAAAAATGGAACTGCTTGAACCTCCAAAATATGCATAATGGTAACTGAAAGAATGTCACTTTAATGACAGTTAAAACCATCCATCTCCGTGGGCTAAATGTAGATACAACTGGAAGCTAGCCTTGGCTTTCGGGCTTGAGGTTAGACTAGTAGGACTTGTATTGTCATCTGGACAGGTGGCAATAACCTTAGCTGTGGACGTCAGAGCCTCCCCAGTCTTCTTTTAGATCTTACATCAAGTTACAATGAACCCTGGCTTTGAAACAAATTTTGAATGCCAGAAAGCAAAGGCGAAGGGTTAACTGCTTGATATTTTTTATTTCTTAGATGCTAAAATATTTTAAAAAGCAAGGCAGCTCAATTTAGATTACAAAAAGGCGCTCTGATGAAAAGCAAATGTGTTCCTGAATGTATTTTGAAATAGATGGTTAGAAAGCTAGCATAGAGTTTGTGGTCTAAATATATCATTCTTTTAGAGGCAGAACATATTGCTGGGGGAAAAATCCTCTATCATAGGGCTTATGGCATATAGTAACTAAAATGTTTTTCCATCCTTTGAATTTTCAATGCTGGGAAATATTATTCAGTAGACCCAGAGAGAAGTCCTAAATTGGAAAAGCAGCTGCATCCAAGGTCATCTCTCTTGTTTCCAAATATATCTTGAAACAAATGCAAGAAGGGCACTTTGCTGAGTGTTATCTGGACATATATAGTTTCAATCAAATTCTTCAAGAAGTGTCAGAATAAAAGTTGAACATTTGTTTGACACTGCAAAGTCACTAGCAAGTGGGTCTCTTTGAGCATGGAGGCTCTGCTTGGTGACTTGGCAATTACTACAACAAAAAATGAGTTCTTTTTCCTACTCTCAAGAAAAAGAAATCAAGTGCAGTTAAACACCAGCTCTGAAATCTTTTCTCACATTTTTTAATATATAGAAAATCATATAAACTTATAAAAATGTCTCTCAACAGAAGTGTAACTTTTACATATACTGCTTCTAAGCTCAGTTCCCTGGAATTATCAAATCTGTTTCACACATCTGAAAATGTTACATGGAACAAAAAAGTGATGATAGAAATGACATAGAGTTGTAACCTGAATCAAAGAATAACATGCTGAATCTTTGAGTTAGTGTAGAAAATATCTCCCTAAATGCAAAGCAATAAATAACTGGCTTATTGCCTCTCCTTTGTGATAAAAAAAAAAATCATGTTACCCATGATAACAGCCTCCCATGGCAGTGACTGTTTGCTACTCTCTACGATGTAGTAAGTCTCTCATTTCATCGAGGGTCTAAGGGAAGCAGGGATATTAACTCCCGATTAGCATACGCCGATGGACAGAACTTGGAATTGCACGAACTCAAAACCTTCAGTAGTTTGGTTTCCAACTGCTTCTCCACCTCCAACTTGTTCCTGATTCCCTCCAGCCTTGTCTGGCTAGTACTTCAGGGCATTCCTTTCTCAGGGCTTCCTCTTCCCCACAAGCTCTTGCTTCCTCCCGGAGTCACATTCTGCCCTTGTGGCCAGAAGAGTTAACTTGTATCTGCATGTCCCTCTCCAGCCTGCCCAAATTGTTCCAGCCCAAAGTGTTTTTTCCTTTGAACGTCCTAGGTCTGTTAACTCTTGATCCCCTTCCAAAAAGCTGAATCAAAACTTTGAGACCCTAAACCCTGAGAAGAGTGTAAGGAAGTCTAATAGCTCTGATTTTCCTAATGAAAACTTCTTTGATCTCTGAAATATCAAACACTTTCAGAAAGTTCAGAGTGTATCAGTTTGCCCACTGGATAATCCAGTGCTGTAAACTACTTCAACCATTGGTTACGTTTTTCCATTTTCCATCTTGGTAACTAGACTTCAAGTTCCCTGGAAGGAGAGGACACGCCTTTTCTCGCTTCATATGCTTGATACAAAGCTGGATGCAGCAAAGGGCCAATGAGCACCTGCTGGTTTCATCCCTGCTGCCCTCTCATGCTCTCCCATTCACCTGTCCAAATCCTTATCTTTCCAGGCCCTGATCATTCCTCCCTCCTTGATCAGACCTCCTTGATCAGACCTCCTTGATTCCTCTTTGATTTCTCTAGATCTCCATTTTGTTTGAACTTCGATAGCAACACAGAATTCAGCACTTGGTTATTAGGTTTTAGTATGTTTGCTGCTGTCTAACGTATTGTAGTCCTTTAAAAAAATTAATGTATCGTAGTCCTGTTAATGACAGGGCCGTGTCTGACACATTTATTGTACCTTTTCACAGAGTTTAGCTGGGTGCCCAGCACACAAATTACAGAGCACAAGGGCTTGGCACGTGACAGAAGCTCCTTTCTCTCCCTAATGGGTAACTTTACGAGCCATACTAGACTTCTTGTCACTTCCTGAGCATGCCATTTTCTTAAATGCCTTTACATCTTCCTCCTTTCCCATGGCTATCAAAATCTTAACTCCTCCTTACAAACCCAGTACAAGTCCTACCTCAGTCCCCCATGTCAGAATTAATCGCTTCTTCCTCTGAGCTCCTTGATTTTTTTACATATAAAAGAACTTTTTAATTTTTGCTACAAAGTATTAGAATCTTCTAGACTGTGAGCTCTCTGAAAGCCAAAACCAGATCATGTTCACTTTATATTTTAGTACTTAGCACAATGTCAGGCACCCAGAAGACAATAAATATTTGTATATAAAAAAATGAATGAATGAATTTACAATTTCATTCTCCAATTAAGAAAGTAATATCTTGCTAATTTCTTTGATTTAGCTTTGGCATTTTCATAGAGGGAGGCAAGAAATGTCTGTAAAACTATTCAGTGGATTTTGGATTTGACCAAATTAAATAAATTTTGTGGTTTTGTTTAATATTGTATTGTATTTCAACTCTTAAGTTGTGTTGCAGCATTGTTCATAAAGTAAGAAACTGGAGTCTATCTATATGTCCAGCAGCAAGAGATATATATGATTTTAACACTTTCACAGAGAAAGAGAAAGATTTAAATTATAACCTATACAGCTTCCATTTGTTCTATGTCTAAATTTCTTTTTGCATTTACTTGACATTCATTTAGCGGAATTTCCACATCTGGTTGGTAGAGTTTATTTTTAAACATTTACTAAAGTTTTTTTTTTTTTCCTTTAGGCACATAGTAAGTGAACACATTTTTTAAAATTATAATTTCACATGTATTATAGTTCATTAAATGGACATCAACCTGTCTGCATATACACAGCCAGTATAGCCATGGGTCACACTGTAGTACCTACACCGCAATAGTGAAGAGCACAGGTTTTGGGCCCTGGCTCTGCCACAGGTATTAGTGGTGTGATATACTGTGGAAGTTTCTCTGTACCTCAGTTTCCTCATCTATTGAATGGGGGTGATAATACTTACCTCCTAGGGTTGCTGTGAGAGTTACATTCGTTCATACACATAAAGCATTTAGACAGTATCTGGTATATACTGAGGGTCCAAGAATGTGTTAGCTGCTATCATCATCATCATCATCATCATCATGATTATGATTCCAAAGCTTCAGGGAGTTAATTTGTTCAATCTTGCTTTGCCTAACTGCTGTTTTTTTAAAAAAACTTCCTTCCCAATCTGAGTTTGCTTCATTTTTAGAACCAAGAGACTAATCAGGCGGTGCTCTTTAACAATGAAACAGGCTCCCTCGTGAGGAGTGAGCCGCATTGCGGTTACTCTACTGTGGCTGGAAAGTGGTCTGCTGCAATAGCCGCGGTACTGAGAGAGAGCTCTCGAAGGTCCCGGTTTAATAAATGATTGCACGACTCATTCTGAGGTTCTTTTCAAGCTCCAAAGTTCTATGGCTGTGTGCCACGTGCAGGGTCAAGCGGCAGCCCTGCAGGGAACCTGCTGTTACACTCTGAACCGAGGTGGAAACTACTACTTTCACTGAAAAGCAGAAATCTTTAATCTCCTCCTGAATTCTGAATAGTGAATTTCCATAGCAGTAAACCAAGTTTGGTGACTCAAGTCGCTCAGCAATTCTAGAGAGGAAATTGTGAAATTATCCGTGTTTGCCGAGAAAGTACTTCCAGTTTTTGCCAAAAGAGGGAGCATAGGAGCAGAAAGCACGTTTGTCCAAGTCTTTCACAAAACACTTGTTTGGATTCTGTGTTTTAGGTTTTTATTTCTTTTGCAAGGATGGGATGGGACTAAATGATTGTTATAGCCAACTTTCTCTTCTTAATATTGTCTCAAGATGGGACAGTCAAAGATTGAAAATACACAGATAACTTTGAAAGATCCCTCTCTATCCCTCCCAGACAAAGTGTTCACCTCATGCCTGGCTGCCATATACTAAACAGCTCTAATTAAGCCGCTCTCATTAAAAGGAAAGGGAGGAGGAGCGAAGCCAGTGACTCCTCCTGGCTGGAGAAACAATTACAAATTTAATCAAAGTGCCTTTAAAAAAAATCTCCTGGCTGCCACAGATTGTTTAAGAAAGAAGGATTCGTTGTATACATAATCTAGATCTTACCTTCACTACGACAGTGGATAAGTTATTGAAATAACCAAGTTTAATGAAAGTTAATCATCAGGCTGCTTACTTACCCACTCCCTAGGGCTAAACACTCCTTTGTGCCAAACAAGGGGAATGATGTAAGCGCCTAGAACCATTTGTAGAAACAAGTCTTTGATTCATGCTCATTAGTCACTAATTTAGGGAAAATGCCTGCATATGACACAGAGGTTTCTAGAAGACACACATCTCCATACGAAGTCATTTTCAACCCAAACTTGATTTTGCCTTTGTAAAGGCAGCTTTGGCAAGTTATCCATTACTGTGTATTTTCAGATTCAATTCAGGAAAATTCAGCAAATTTATACATTTTTAGTTGGAGCAACATATTTGGGCTTTTATTTTACTCCAATTACCAAAAGTGCTCTGCATCATGTTAGCCTAAAACCTTAAGGAATAATCATACTTGGAAAATGACCAGAGCTTAAAATCTTCCAGAAAATTTATATATGTTATATAAACTAATAAGGCAGAATAATACATTTGGATTTGATAGTTTGATGAAATGGCTTCTTTTATTATTGCTGCCCATGGAAATAAATAAAGCAAAATGATAGAAAGTATTAATCTAAAGAGGAAAGTGAAGCATTTTGTAATTTCTTAAGATCCGGTTTGAGTTCCACAAGCCTTTGAACAATGCTCTCAGACCATTCTGGTACACTCCCTGGACCTGAAAAAGACATGATCTTGTATTCAGTTAATAGACTTATAACAGAAAAGACATTATCCTATTATAAGATGGTTCTTAAAGGACAACCTTTAAAGTTGGATTATTTCCTGAACTAATACAGAAAGCAAGATAAGCGGTGGCCTTTTGGAATTTACAGTTTAGCGAGTCAGTTTCACGCAGCAGCTGGCAGCACCGAGTCTTAGGAGGAGCAAATCCATGAACGCAAAAGCAGATTTCACAGGCTACATTTTTCTCCTTTATTTGGGCCATCATGTGGAAGACAGATTATTTTCCAAAACGATTAAGTACTCTCATCAATTAGCCAGCTAGAGTATTAGTCCTGAAGGAAAAACATAATAAGCCCTTCTGGAAGTGCCAGCTGTCAAAAACTGTCAGAGGTAGTCAAAGCTTTTTAATGTTCCAATCAAATCACAAAATGAGTGGAAAGTCACTGTAGAAAACCCATTAAGATGCATTACTAAATGTCCAATGTTACATAAAAACTATAAATAACTTTGTACTTTTAGGGTGTTTTTTTTTCAATTTGCTTTTCTTGAAGTAATAATGATGCTCTGCCTCAGTTAATAAAGTGATTTTGGAGCTGCCTTAGTGTTTAATCCACACACTCTTTCTGTGTGGAATAAGATGGCAAGCAATAATCAAATCAGAATTATAAGCATTCCAGGGCGCCTGGGTGGCTCAGTTGGTTAGGCGGCCGACTTCGGCTCAGGTCATGATCTCACGGTCCGTGAGTTCAAGCCCCGCGTCGGGCTCTGTGCTGACAGCTCAGAGCCTGGAGCCTGTTTCAGATTCTGTGTCTCCCTCTCTCTGACCCTCCCCCGTTCATGCTCTGTCTCTTTCTGTCTCAAAAATAAATACACGTTAAAAAAAAAAAAAAGAATTACAAGCATTCCTTGGAGTATTTGTCATTAACAATTTTAAAAATTAAGGGAAGAGCACCAAAGACAGTAAAGGCTAAAAAAATTAATCACCAAGCTTAATAATCTTACAAGCTGACTTTCATTAGGGGAATAAAATGCTGTTTCTGTGAAGGACATCCAGTCTTTTTCAAATATTTGCAAAGGAATACATACTCTGGCTAAAGGAACATCACTTGCTACAGGCTTCAAAATAACAAGCCAGTAGCCAATACGGAACAAAGACGTCTACATCAATGTTCAGAAACTGACTGAATTAAGAAAGGTTTGCTTCCACACTGAAACACAGCCTTTCCTCTTTTAGTATCTGGTGGATCAAGTTGTTGATCCAAAGGCACAAATGGTAGCTGGTATTCTGGTAGCTGATACTTGCCCAAATGAGAGGCTAAAGTAACCTGAGTACTATATTCAAACCACATAAAACATTAAAATGCTTCTTTTTTTTTCTTGAAATTTGTTAAAAGAAGTTTGTTTCCACACTTTCTTGGTAAGTTCTTCCTTGCTCTGAGGGATCCCATCTCTTCTTGCCATAGCTGCTAGAGTTACCAATAATCTCTGTGCTGGTATGTTTCTCTGATAACCAGGAGCTTTCAAATAAAAAAGTAAAAGTAGGAACACACTTGGAAACAAAGAGATACAAAGCCATAATCAAGTCTGTATGTTCCACACAGGGTAGAAACAATTTTTTAAAAATTAAAAAAAAATCATTTAATGTTTATTCATTTTTGAGAGGGAGAGAGAGTGAGCGTGTGCAAGCAGGGGAGGGGCAGAGACAGAGGGGGACAGAGGATCCCAACAGGTTCTATACTGACAGCAGAGAGCCCAACGTGGGACTTGAACTCACGAATCATGAGATCATGACCTGAGCTGAAATCAGAGTCGGACTCTTAACCAACTGAGCCACCGAGGCACCCTGAAACAACTTTCTTCATTGAAATGTTCTTCACCTCTCATCGCCACCCCTAGGATAGCTACAAAGAACTAACCCAAGATGCACATGCTAATAATATGAAATCTGTTTTCAAATCTAAAGGGAAGACATTTAAAAAAGTATAATGAAGCTGAAGTGAAGTTAAGGGTAGTATGTGAATTTAATAATTTTCTTTAAGGGAAAATCAAAGAAACCTTCAAGTACCCTGTCCAAATGAAGCAGAAATTAGAAGCACTTTGGACTCTTGAATTTCACTTGGAATCCTATGCTAACTTTTTAGCACATGATAATATCTATATTCCATGACTATTTTTCATACTGTTAGATTTTGGGTAAAAATAACAACTAATCCTTAAATTTAATACAATACTATAAAATGAGGAGCACCTGGGTGACTCAGTTGGTTAAGCATCAGACTCCTGATTTCAGCGCAGGTCATGATCTCACTCACAGTTTGTGATTTCGAGCCCCGCACTGGGATCTGTGCTAACAGTGTGGAGCCTACTTAGGGTTCTCTCTCCCTCTCTCTCTACCCCTCCCCTGTTCACACTCTCTCAAAAACAGAAATAAATAAACAAACAATACTATAAAATGAATACTTAAAAAATAATTTTGATGCAACTATATAATTCAAAAACAAATAGCCATGACATGTGCACCAAGTTTTATTTGCTTTTAAATCATACAGTCAGAACAAGTATGTTATTCAAAATAGTAAATTTTCTTGAATTTTACAGAAGAAAGAGAAACTGAAGTGAAACTGTAGGAATTGCTGAACTTCAGATAAATGTTTCTTCAAAACAAGAGATATTAGTTCCTAAAAGATTCCTCTAAAGTTAAAAAAAGATTAAGAAGAAATTTAAGCCATTGGGTTATTACATTTTTTAAAAACTACATGCTTCTTAAAAGACATATGTTTACATTTACAGAGAGTAAACTTAGTCTCCTGTCTCATAAAACTCAGACGACACGACTGATATCTAAACTAAGCAAAACAATAAAAGCGGTTTTTATTTTTTAAAAACTTTAAAACCTAAATCTACCTTAATCTTATCTTCCAAGAAAACTTAATAGGGAATGGCTAATCTGAAAGCAAAATGTTGTACAAATCATTTTCAAGAAGAGAAATACATTATGGGATTATGCTTACATCTAGTAGCATCAACTAAAACCCTAAACGATGGCACATGAATTCAGAGTATCAGCCGGTCCTCTCCTCCCTCCTGAATTACCTGACCAATGGAAGTTTGGCTTTGTTGTTTCAGAAAGCACTGTTTCTTACATTCCATCAATTGTTCAAAATCACGCCACATTTTCGCTTGTTTCATATTTGGACCATGACTTTCTCGTACAGCTTTTTGTTTTTCTCGGAGTTTCTATTATAAAAAAAATCAGGAATAATTAAATCTCAGTTACAGGGATTTACTTCTGTTGCTATAATCAGAAGAATATGGTATGCTTTGAACATTTGATGAGTAGCAGTTAACTAAACCAGGTTCTCCTGAGATGAATGAAAACTAAAATGATAAAAGTTAATTAAATTTATGATAGACGTAGGACAGCTTGAAGATAAAAAGAATAGAAAAATATAAAAGGAGGTGTGGGGCACCTGGGTAGCTCAGTTGGTTAAGTGACCAACTTTGGCTCAGGTCACGATCTCATGATTCGTGGGTTTGAGCCCCGCATCAGGCTCTGTGTTGACAGCTTGGAGCCTGGAGCCTGCTTCAGATTCTGTGTCTCCCTCTCTCTCTCTCTGCCCCTCGCTGGCTTGTGCCCTCTCTTTCAAAAATAAATAAATAAACATTAAAAAAAACCTCAAAATAGAACAACCATATCATCCAATCATTCCCCTAAAAAAAAAATAAAATAAAGAAAAGAAAGAAAAAGAAAGGGTGGGGGTGGGGTGGGGTGGGGAATAAAGGGAATCAGGAAAGTAGAAAGTGGTTCAGTATCATGGTGTAGAAAAAAGAGTGTAGATTTTGAAAGTCGGAAGACTTTGGTATATAACTTGGCTTGGTCACTAGCTCTAAGTAAGACAACTTCTCTGGACCTCAGTTTTCTCAATTGTAATTAAAGCTAATAATAGGGGATAATTATAAAATTAACTGCCTTATAAGATTATCTTTTCACAAGATACAATAGATCTGGAAATACTTTATAAACTATCATGTGTTATCTGTTATTATTATTAAGTATTATATCCTTTCCTGAATCTGTGTATGCTCTGTGTATACCCAAATAAATAAAATTGTACGTATATATTTCTCAGGGAGAAAGTTTCATGATTTTTTAAAAAGTACACTATTAAATAGGCCCAAACCCCTATCAGAATTATTTTTGTTACCAATAGCCTATATGATTCCATCTGTCAAAACTATTCTACTCACAGACTCTAACATTATAAACAAGAATAAGAAAAGCTTTCAATAAACTGTAAAAATATACTTTGGCAAATTCAGAAAGGGTGACTGAAAGGAGGCTTAGCAGGAAATGAGAGGAAGGAAGGAAGAGGGGAAGGATGGAAGGCAGGTAAGCAGAGGAAAACAGAGAAGATGAGAGCGCACACATTAGGAAACACAGTGTACACAGTGACACTGATTATGAGAAATCACTAAGGACAGAAAAATAAGCAAAGATGCAGAAATAGGTAACAGAATGGTTCCCATTCTTTCTGCCCTTGGTATATAGTTGATCTAATAGTTGATGTAAGGACACAAATGAGAAGGCTGGTCATTGGTACTTGCCCAAATAAGAGGGTAAACTAAGCTAAGACTAGATTCAAAACACTTTACTAAAGACTGCCCTCCACAGCTGTTGCTAATGAAAGCAAAATTGACAGCAAATAGCAACAGGAAACAAAGCAGAATTAAGAAAATATAATTAAAAATTTTTTTCAATGTTTATTTATTTTTGAGACAGAGAGAGACAGAGCATGAACGGGGGAGGGGCAGAAAGAGAGGGAGACACAGAATCGGAAGCAGGCTCCAGGCTCTGAGCCATCAGCCCAGAGCCTGATGCGGGGCTCGAACTCACGGACCGCGAGATTGTGACCTGAGCCGAAGTCGGACGCTTAACCGACTGAGCCACCCAGGCGCCCCTAAGAAAATATAATTTAAATATAACCAGCAAATGTTTGACACAATATCTGGCATGCAAATACATCTATTTAAGTCTATGTTACAAAAAAAAGGGGGGGGCAACCCAAGAAACAGACCCTTCACTATAGAGAACAAACTGATGGTTCCCAGAAGGGAGGTGGGTGGGGGAGGATGGGTTAAATAGTTGATGTGATGGGGAATAAAGGTGCACTTATTGTGATGATCACTGGTGTAATATGAAAGTGCTGAGTCACTATACTGTACACCTGAAATATTACACTGTATGTTAACTGGAATTTAAACAAAAGCTTAAAAAAAACCCAAATATTTTTATCCTCATGAACTAAAACAAAAGTAGTAAGTCAGATCTAGAAGTTCTTAGAATAACTTTTAAGATTAAGGTACTACTTAACTATACATTTTCCTATATTATTGAAATAGTTTCCTTGTCAAAAATCCTAACAACCTATAAAAGTTATTTAAGGAAACAAAGACAGGATGTGGGCATGGTCTATGTCAGAAATATTAAATTTAATGTACTTCATAACCATGTGTGTTTGAAACCTTTAATTTTATGAATACAACTGCCTTAGTATGTAATTTATTTTTAATGTTACTGCCACTTAATCCAAATTTATTTTGTTGATAGTTGTAATGCACAAAGAATACTTGTCACAAATTTGATTGTTCTTTAAAGGGGAGGTGGTATAGTGGGTAGAGGGGAGTTATAACTTTCAGTACAGTATTCCACAGTACTTGGTAAGGCAAATTCTAGTATATGATCATGTGAATTTTAGCACTATGATAGATTGGTTAATTCCAGAAAGTCAGTTGGACTGAGGTGGTGAGTGGATGTTCAGTCTATGCTGGTTTGGAAGGCTTAGGCTATCATCACATTGAAAGGCTAGGTTTATTCAGTATTTGCCTTAAAATTTAGATCTACTCTAGGAATGAGAGGATTGAAGAACTTTGTTTCTTAAATGATACATCCTGACAATTGGGGAATGAGCTAATCAATGGCTCCTTTTGCTGAAATAGACTTGTCAGACTGTTACTATCACTTTTCGTAAAGATCCTGCAGTAAAACACTACACTGGAAAGGGAAAGAATAATCTTTATTCTGATTTAGCAGTTACATTTGGGTCTTTGAAAGGATTCAGATTTGATAAAAATTTCTGTACACAAAGCATCCATCCACATACTTTTCAAAACAAAAGAAATAGAGGAATGCTTTCATATGAAAAAATATATTACCTAACATATAGAATGTTTGGGTGAAAGCTAGTTATTGACAGTCATACTAAATCCTAAAACCCCCAAATCTCTAGTGAATGTTTACAACTTGATTCAAATATATGCTTTCAAATATGAAATTATTTCTTTTTTCCTTTTTGAGTATGGCATGTCAACCCATAAATGGAAAGAGATGTGTAGAACTCACAATTTCTCTGAGGGATTGGGGGTATCAACTTAAGGTTTCCTTTCTTTTTAAATTTACATTAATGTGATGGGCATTTATTTACAAATAATACAGAAAGAACAGATGAACACTTTTTTAGAGAAACAGAAACACTTTTTAGAGAAATTCCAGGTTTGGAATAGGAAAAGTATAGGGTAAGCCCGGAACATTTTGTCATACCAGAAAATAAGCCATCAAAATCTAGCAGGATTGTTTCCAAAGCATTCAGGAGCTGACTTCAAGAGGCTTCTACTGGCTTAAAATGGGGCAATTCGAGAACTGACAGGAATAATAATTATAATAGATTGAAATATCTCCAATAAGTTAAATCCAGGAGTCATAAAGGTACTTGTCAAGGATGATTTAAAAAAAAAAAAAAAACTCATCATTTTGAAAACCAATAAACAAGCAAATCAGCAGTTATTTTGCCTTTCTTATTTGAGCTGTATCTTAGGGTAACTAAAGAGTTGATAAGGAGTTACTCTTTACAGAATTATTCCAGCTAATAAATGAAGAAGGAACAACATAATTAGAATGCCATCATTTTGCAACCTCTAATTAATTAATGGGTCTAGGAAGTGACTTCACTGGCTGCCTATTATACAGAGCCTCCTCAAAGAATACATACTACTACCTATGAAGTATACTTCCCAAATACTGAATTATATTTAATCAAGCCTCTATATCTAACTACCAATTCAAAGGACATACTGGGGACAGAAGAACATGCTAGTTGACACCATAGGGATGTCATCAGCAAAGTTCAGGATGTTGGAAACCCATCAGGACAAGTAACTAGATTTTATTTTTCTTTTAATTTTCCAACAAATAAATTGTAAAGAAAGATGAAAGAGTAACCCAGAGGAAGATACTTAAGAGCTATATCAACTAATAGCACTGTATGAATTCTTATTAGGATCCTGTTTCAAACAAATAAACAGTAAGAAATGATGAGACAATTGGTGAAGCTTGAACATTGACTGAGTATTTGGTATTATGCAATTATTGTTAAATTATTTTGGGCATGATAATGGTATTGTGGTTACGTTCAAAAAAGGCCTTTACAATACAAACTGAAATATGATCAAAAAAATATAATAGGATCTCTGAGATTTGCCTAAAAATGATTTGGGGTGGGAAATAGGCGGGACTATAGATAAAACAAAATGTGTCATTAAGTCTAATTATTGAGGCTGGATGATGGTTTCACATGAATTCATTACATTATTTCCTCTACTTTTTATATAGGCTTGAAATTTTCCATAATCATTTTTCTAAGTTTTTTAGTTTTTAAAAAAAACTTTTTTTTTTTCAACGTTTATTTATTTTTCGGACAGAGAGAGACAGAGCATGAACGGGGGAGGGGCAGAGAGAGAGGGAGACACAGAATCGGAAACAGGCTCTAGGCTCTGAGCCATCAGCCCAGAGCCTGACGCGGGGCTGGAACTCCCGGACCGTGAGATCGTGACCTGGCTGAAGTCCGGACGCTTAACCGACTGCGCCACCCAGGCGCCCCTAAAAAAATCTTTTAAAAACACTTTTACAAAGACTATTTAGGAATTATGCCATTGTTTTCCATACCATTTTTTCCCTGAAATTTAGAATATTACTTACAGGTTTATGGGAACTGATTCAGCATTTATGTAAAAGCATAGATACATGTATGTTTTTAATAATAATTCAAACCAGAATATGTAAATAAGGATGAATAATTTTATCATCACCAATATATTGAGTCAGACCAAAAGCTTAATTATACAATGCATTATGACTGAAACAAAGCCATATTTTTCATTTGTACTTTCCAAATGGGCAAGCATGTATATGTATACACACATACACACACACACACACCCCCATATATACATGTGTATATATATATATATATACACACACACACACACGCACACACATATAGATGTAGTCATTTTTAGGTTGCTGACTCAAGAATATTTGAACAGTAAAATTAGATGCCAATATATAGCCAGTATTTTAAAAGAAAAACTGCAGCAGAGCCCAATGTGGGGCTTGAACCCATGAACCATGAGATCATGATCTGAGCCGAAATCAAGAGTCAGATGCTCAACTGACTGAGCCACCCTGGTACCCCAATCTACATATTTCAGTTTAAACATGAGGAAATGAATTCCAAAGTGGTTAAGGAGCTTTTCCAGAACCACAAACCGAGGACTGAACCCAGCCTACTTGATGACTGGTCCTGAGTTTGATAAATATAGATCTTAAGATAAAATAAAAAAAAGAATGACAGAGCTGGTATCTTTAAAATGACTGTCAAAGTGTGTTGCTTTATGAAGTCAATTAGAAAAATCAGTGAGTTAGTCACTTAAGTCCCGATGATCAAGGTCTTTACCAGCTACCACCTCTTCTACTAGGAGTGGCTCAGAGAACTGAGAAAACAAGACTCAATCCCATATTCCTCCATTCATAAGACTGGCAGGGAGGGAGCTGAATATGACAAGTAAGGGTTTTTGATTATTTATGTTAAATGTATCAATATTTGTAAAGGACATAGACCAGTGCCTGGATCATAGTAATGAGCTTTGTGCTTATTAAATAAAATAAATAAGTTTATACTTATTAAGAGATACCTGAGAATTATCTGAAAACTTGTAGTTTATTACACATGGTGCTTTTGTTTCTTAGAACCTTCTCATAAACTCTTTGTTAATTAAAACTAGATATAAAAATAAATAAAACTAGATTTTTTTCTTTCAAAAATCCATGTGCCTTCACTTTTATATACACACACACATAAATTCCTAAGGAAGAAACTTCATCTTTGTAAGAAATTAAGAAAGATTCAATTTCCCTTTGAAAACTGTACCATAACCTTTAAAAAAGAATGACAGTCCCAAAACCATGTACTGAAAGCCTGAATTAGACACACTTAAAAAAATAACTAATACATTCTTACCTTTCCAAGGTTTTCCTGTTCAGCAATATTTTTTGTATACTGCTCCCTGGGGAATCAACATAATGACTTAGTTTCAATTTATTTCAATTGATTTGGTCATACAACTAAATTATAAATTAACATATCTATCTAAATATATTACACAGGAGTCAGAATGAAACCAAATACTCTCTTTCCCCATCTTTAGTCAATTCTTCTAGTAATTAGTAATTTATGGGGAAAAAACCCCATAAAACACCACATAATTAAGAGAATTAAAATGTTAAGTCCTATTTCTGTATTTAAAATAGTACTTAAGTACTATTTTACACTTAAAACAATGGCAAACCATCTTTCTAAGTCACAATTTTTAAAAGTTTTTATTTATTTAGGTAATCTTTACACAAAATGTGGTTCAAACTCACAACTCTGAAACAAAGAGTTGCATGCCAGCCAGGCGCCCCAGTCACACTTTTTTTTTTTTAATTTTTTTTGATTTTTTTTTATTTTTGAGACAGAGAGAGACAGAACATGAACGGAGGAGGGTCAGAGAGAGGGAGACACAGGATCTGAAGCAGATACCAAGCTCCCAGCTGTCAGCACTGAGCCCAACGCGGGGCTTGAACCCATGGACTGTGAGATCATGACCTGAGCCGAAGTCGGACGCTTAACCGACTGAGCCACCCAGGCGCCCCCACACTTTATTTTTGAAGAGGTTTATAGAAAGGAGAAAGGATACACATTTTAAATAAACATTAACATCTAACCCTGCAATTCTACTTCTGGGAAGTCATCCTAAAAAAGACTCTCATAACTTAAGAAAGGTAAATGTAAAGACTATTTACTTCACCATTGTTTATAACAGTAAAAATCTGCAAACAAACTAAATGTCAATAGATGGGTAAATTTTTAATAAATTTGGTATATCCATTCAAAGGAATAACACATAGTTGTAAAAAGGAAGGAGTAGATCTATAAATACTGAAGTGGAAAGAACTCTAGATATAAAATTAAGGGAAAAACTGTATCTTAAGTTTAACTTTATTTTGTATACACACACATAAAATTTCCCCCATGCATTTGCTAACACACACACACACACACACACACACACACACACACGCAAATGCATGGGGAAAGAATATGGAGTAATTATACACCAAAATATTAACAGTAGGTATTTCTGAGGCATGGCAACATGGACAACATTCAGTTTTTGTGTACTATACTTCATAATGCTTACTTTTGTTTTTATAAGCATCTCTTTTACAAGCTAAAACAGCTCATAATTTTCAAGTAAAAATAAAAATACAATAACATTGTATTGTGTTTTTAAAAATATAAAAGACATAATTATATTTTAACACTCCATAAGACAAAAGTGATATTTAAAGTATTAAGGACAAAGATGGAAGGATGAAGACAAAGGAACCAATGACAAAGAAGATAAAAAAAGACTTCAGACCTCAAATTTAGAGGAAAAAGACTATGTTTCTGTGTAAAGTTATGCTGTAGTAAGAAGTTAAACAACACAAAACTGGGAATCCAAGAAATCATAAACCACAAAGAGAAACTCTAGCAGCTTAAGTGAAGGAAGATTTGCATTCATGTAACAAGGGAGGTAAACTTGACTAGAACAGAAAGGGTGGCTTTCACAAGTACTCAAAATCCTCAGGGCGCCTGGGTGGCTCAGTTGGTTAAGCCTCTGACTCTTATATATTTATATATTAAATAAGACCTATTATATAAAATATACTTTTATATATAATATAAAATACATAAAAATATATATTTTAAAGATTTTATTTTTAGAGAGAGAGAAAAAGCATGAGTGGGGGAGAGGGGCAGAGGGAGAGAGGAAGAGAGGGAGAGAGAAAGAGAAAGGGGAGAGGGAGAGAGAGAGAGAGGGAGAGTAGGCTCCATGCTCAGTGTGGAGCCTGATGCAGGGCTTGATCCCACAATGCCCCTGGGACCATGACCTGAGCTGAAATCAAGAGTCAAGACACTCAACTACAGAGCCACCCAGGTGCCTCACAGAATTTCCATTTATATTTTATCAAGAGATCAAAGGCTCATGCTCTTTTACCATATAACACTAATATGTAATTATTTTAATTTATTCAATGACTTAATTCAAGAAATAACTATGGAGCACCTGTTATGTACCAAGCATGCCCTAGGGTTTCAGGAAGAAAACAGAACAGAGTCCTTGTCCTCCAGTAACTCATGCTATATAATTTCCAAAACACTGCTGCATGCATTATATTTAACTTGATCTTCTGTGGTATAAATTGTTCTCCCTATTATATAGATGAGGAAATGATATGCCCAAGGTCACAAAACTTGGAACTAGAAAAACCAGGTTAGTAAGAAAATTTTATGAGTCCCTCTTTAAATTTTTTTTTTTCAACGTTTATTTATTTTTGGGCATGAACGGGGGAGGGGCAGAGAGAGAGGGAGACACAGAATCTGAAACAGGCTCCAGGCTCCGAGCCATCAGCCCAGAACCTGACACGGGGCTCGAACTCACGGACCGCGAGATCGTGACCTGGCTGAAGTCGGACGCTTAACCGACTGCGCCACCCAGGCGCCCCAATGAGTCCCTCTTTAGTACTTTGAAATAAAACATGCTGCCTCTTTATTTTATTAAAAAAAATTTTTAATGTTTATTATTTTTGAGAGAGACAGAGAGCAAGCAGGGGAAGGGCAGAGAAAAAGAGGGAGACACAGAATCAGAAGCAGGCTCCAGGCTCTGAGCTGTCACACAGAGCCCCACGCGGGGCTCAAATCCGTGAGCTGTGAGATCATGACCTCAGCTGAAGTCGGCCACTTAACTGACTGAGCCACCCAGGTGCCCCAACATGCTGCCTCTTTAAATAAAATTAAAATTTGCAGGCAATCTTTCAAAACCATGCTAATTTCTCCAGGTGTCTGGGTGGTTTTAGTTGGTTAAGCTTCTGACTCTTGGTTTTGGCTCAGGTCATGATCTCGTGGTTTCATGAGTTCAAGCCCCGGGTCTGGCTCTGCACTGACAGTGAGGAGCCTGCTTGGGGTTCTCTGTCTCCATCTCTCTCTTTCCTTCTCCCACTCACACTATCACTCTCTCTCTCTCAAAATAAATAAGCTTAAAAATGAAAACAAAAACAAAAAAACCCCATTCTAATTTCTTAGACCATTGGCCTTACTCAAAAGTATCATAAAAGAATAAAATGGGACAACCATAAAAATATTGTAACTATAATAATAATAATAATAATAATAATAATAATTTAAACATATATCAATGAGTTTAGAATACAATTAACACTATTTTATTTATAATATTCTTATGTACTACTCTAGTCAGGGCAAAATATTTTTTCTATGGGAAAACTAATGGTAAAGGTTTATGATGATTTTGAAAATGATAAAAAAGAATACCTGGCCAGAAAACCAATAGTTCAGTGACAATATTTCCTATTTCCTATTTATATTGATACCTTTGGAAAAAATGGAACTTAAATTTTTAAAACTTTTTTTCAGGAATAAAAACTTCTCACATTTGTAAAATATTAACATTGACCATACAGATTTGAGCCAAGTTTACACTCAATGAAAGAATGTGAATAAGTACATTTAATATGTGTAATATGTCAGAGTATTAGAGAAAACACTGTTCTATTTATAGGGTATTTTCAGTCTGGCTTGCATTCCAGTGCATTATATATTTTAAAAATTAGATTTTGCAAGACATTCCATTTACTAGATTCCTTTTTGAAACATTACTGTATATGCCACAAAAAATCTCCACTGCAATCTAGAATAAATGTGAATCCTACACTTGGGAGTTCTTACTGGATGGTAAAAGTGAAACATGTGAATTGTGGTAAGGGGCAGAGAGCTTAGCTTGTTCAATTACTGCATTTTATCACACCTAGCAATTAAACCATAAATGTATTTTTTAAAGAATTTGATTTAAAATATTTTTTTAATCTGTATTTATTTTTGAGAGAGACACAGTGTGTGAGTAGGGGAAGAGCAGAGAGAAAGGGAGACACAGAATCCAAAGCAGGCTCCAGGCTCTGAGCTGGCAGCACAGAGCCCGAAGCGGGGCTCAAACTCACGAACCGTGAGATCATGACCTGAGCCGAAGTCGGATGCTCACCCAACTGAGCCACCCAGGCGCCCCGGCCGTATTTGATATATTACAGAATGTTGCAAGCTTGGATTACCAAAAAAAAACACCATATAAGGACTAGTGATATTTACACACCCTTCTTTGTTCTGAGGCTGGCACACTGCAGACACACAGCTTCTCACTGTAATGCACTCACACTGCACAGTGAATAGGCAGATGACTAGAGTCCAGGTCATGTGGGACTTTAAAAATAGACCAATCTGAATGTTTATTAAAAAAGGAACTATGTTGGGGTGCCTGGGTGGCTCAGTTGGTTAAGCATCTGACTTAGGCTCAGGTCATGATCTCACAGTTTGTGAGTTCGAGCCCGCGTCAGGCTCTGTGCTCACAGCTCAGAGCCTGGAGCCTGCTTCCAATTTTGTGTCTCCCTCTCTCTCTCTCTCTCTGCCCCATCCCCACTCATGCTCTGTCTCTCTCTGCCTTAAAAATAAATAAAATATTTAAAAAAAAAAGGAACTATGAAATTATATTTTTCCTGGGGAAGGGGAATGGGGAATTACTGTTTAATGATTATAAGAGTTTCTGTTTAGAGTGATGAAAAAGGTTTGGTATTATAGGGGCACCTGGGTGGCTTAGTCGGTTAAGCATCCGACTTCGGCTCAGGTCATGATCTCGCAGTTTGTGAGTTCGAGCCCCGTGTCGGGCTCTGTGCTGACAGCTCAGGGCCTGGAGCCTGCTTCAGATTCTGTGTCTTCTCCTGTCTCTGCCCTTCCCATGCTCATGCTCTGTCTCTCTCTCTCTCTCAGCAATAAATAAATATTAAAAAAAAAAAGGTTTGGTATTGCATAGCGGTGGTGGTTGCATAACACTGTGAATGTGATCAATGCAATTGAATTATACACCTAAAAATGGTAAACATGTGGCACAAGAACAGACACTCAGATCAATAGACCAGAATAGAGAACCCAGAAATGGATCCACAAACGTATGGCCAACTAATCTTTGACAAAACAGGAAAGAATATCCAATGGAATAAAGACAGTCTCTTCAGCAAGTGATGCTGGGAAAACTGGACAGCGACATGCAGAAGAATGAACCTGGACCACTTTCTTACACCATACAGAAAAATAAACTCAAAATGGATGAAAGACCTCAATGTAAGACAGGAAGTCATCAAGATCCTTGAGGAGAAAGCAGGCAAAAACCTCTTTGATCTTGCCCGCAGCAACTTCTTACTCAACACGTCTCCGGAGGCAAGGGAAACAAAAGCAAAAATGAACTACTGGCACCTCATCAAAATAAAAAGCTTCTGCACAGCGAAGGAAACAATCTGCAAAACTAAAAGGCAACCAACAGAATGGGAGAAGATATTTGCAAATGACATATCAGACAAAGGGTTGGTATCCAAAATCTATAAAGAACTTATCAAACTCAACACCCAAAAAACAAATCATCCAGTGAAGAAATGGGCAAAAGACATGAATAGACACTTCTCCAAGGAAGACATCCAGATGGCCAACCAACATATGAAAAAATGCTCAACATCACTCATCATCAGGGAAATACAAATCAAAACCACAATGAGGTACCACCTTACACCTGTCAGAGTGGCTAACATTAACAACTCAGGCAACAACAGATGTTGGTGAGGATGCGGAGAAAGAGGATCTCTTCTGCATTGTTGGTGACAATGCAAGCTGGTGCAGCCATTCTGGAAAACAGTATGGAGGTTCCTCAAAAAACTAAAAATAGAACTACCCTAGGACCTAGCAATTGCATTACTAGGCATTTATCCATGGGATACAGGTGTGCTGTTTTGAAGGGACACATGCACCCCCATGTTTATAGCAGCACTATCAACAATAGCCAAAGTATGGAAAGAGCCCAAATGTCCATCAATGGATGAATGGATAAAGAAAATGTGATATATATATATACACAATGAAGTATTATTATTTGGCAATCAAAAAGAATGAAATCTTGCCATTTGCAACTACACGGATGGAACTGGAGGGTATTATGCTTAGTGAAATTAGTCAGCCAGAGAAAGACAAAAATCGTATGACTTCACTCATATGAGGACTTTAAGAGACAAAACAGATGAACATAAGGGAAGGGAAACAAAAATAATATAAAAACAGGGAGGGGGACAAAACAGAAGAGACTCATAAATATGGAGAACAAACAGGGTTGCTGGAGGAGTTGTGGGAGGGGGGATGGGCTAAATGGGTAAGGGGCATTAAGGAATCTACTGAAATCACTGTTGCACTATATGCTAATTAATTTGGATGTAAATTTAAAAAAATTAAAAATAAAATTAAAGAAAATAGTAAACATGGCAAATTTTAATTTTTTTAAAATGTTTTATTTATTTTTGAGACAGAGACACAGCATGAGCAGGGGAGGGGCAGAGAGAGAGGGAGACACAGCATTCGAAGCAGGCTTCAGGCTCTGAGCTGTCAGCACAGAGCCTGATGCAGGGCTTGAACTCACAAACCGCAAGATCATGACCTGAGCCGAAGTCGGACGCTCAACCTACTGAGCCACCGAGTGCCCCAACATGGCAAATTTTATATCGTTTTTTTTTTTTTGCCATGATAAAAAATCAAGCAATCCAGAAAGTAAATTACAGGTATTCCTACTTAGTAGGGCTGGAGTATCAGGAAGATATTTAACAAGATTTATTCCTAAGTAATATCTTAATATCTGCTTATTTAAGTACCCCCAATTTAGTAATTCCATCTTATGTATAAAACTTCTACAGGTCACAGCCATAAAAAAGAATGAAACCTTGCCATTTGCAACAACACGGATGCAGCTGGAGAGTACAATGCCAGGTGAAATAAGTCAGTCAGAGAAAGACACACACCATATCATTTCACTCATATGTGGAATTTAAGAAACAAAACAAATGAACAAAGGAAGAAAGAGAGAGAGAGACAAACCAAGAAACAGACTCGAAACTCTAGAGAACAAACTGATGGTTCCCAGAGGCGAGGTGGGTGAGGGGGATGAGTGAAACAGGTGATGGGGATTAAGAGTACAATTATGATGAGCACCGAGTATGTATGGAATTGCTGAATCACTATGTTGTACACCGGAAACTAATGTAACACTACAAGAACTATACTGGAGTTTAAATACAGAAGTTAGTAAAATTAAAAAGAAACTTATATAGGTGAAAACGTTAAGTAACTCAATATAGAAACAACAAAATTACTTGCCTAATTGCCTTTCTTTTTTCTTGTTGATCAGAAGAAACATAAGCCTTCATCTCATCAGTAGCACGACGAAGTTGTACTTCTAGGTTCTAAGTGGAAAGATTAAATTTTAGGTTAAGTCCTTGATACAGAAAAATCTCAGAAAAATTCTTGATCCTCTTTCTTTATTTTACCTTAATCATACAATTTGTGTAATGGTATCTACTTTCTTCCTGAAGACATTCTTCACGGAGTCCTCTGACTTCCTACAATATATAATTTTAAATGGGCAACATTATTGAAAGAATAATCAAATGCAGAAAGGATGACTTTAAATGTACAACAAAATGCCATCAGAGTAATTTCTTCTTTTGTGATTATAATTTTGTTTGCCATCATAGACTAGGTTGCAATCTTTTCTAAAGACTACTCCTATTGCTCCAAAACCTACAGGTTCAGTTATTAATTTATTAAGTACCTACCATGTGCCCAACTCTGTGCTAGGTGCTGGGGACACAACGGTGAATAAGACTATAGGCCCTTGCTCTCATTCAAGTAGAGGAAATAGGCATAAACAAGGAGATAGGTAATGAAGGTAGTTTCAGACTTTTCTTCAGTACTATGAAGAAAAGTCAGTAGTAGTAGAATGTGATAGGGCGACCCAACAGGCAACATTAGATAGGATGATCAGAGAAGACCTCCAGGAGGAGGTGACATTCAGGCTGAGACCTGATGATGAGCAGGAGAGATCAAGGTAAAGAGGTAGAGGCAGAGTGTCCCAGAGAGAGAATAGCACAAGCAAAAGCCATGAGGGGAAAACAAGCTTAGCTTGTCTGATGTGCAAGAAGAAGGCCAGTGTGGCTGTGGCCCTGTGGATGAAGAGAACAGCACATGAACATGAAGTTCAGGAGGCAGGTGGGCCTTGCAGACCATAGTTTGGAAGTCAGGTTTTAAGTGCAGTAGGAAGCTAGTGGAGGGTGGCCTAAGTTTCCCACAGGTTTCTTTGGCTGCTCTAAAGAGAAAAAACCTTAGGAAGGCAAGGGTGAAGGTAAGAGAGCAGAGCTGGGTTACTGTGGGAGACACCTGCTTGTGGCCTGGGCCTTGGTGGTTGTGGTACAGATGGAGAATTTGGTGTGTATGCATCACGTCTGAAGAAATAAAGATCTCTCGAGCTTAGGGGACAGGCTCAGAGAATGAGGGTAAAGACTTGGGAATCTTTTGATGCCAGGGTAGTGAAAACATGCATACACAGGCAGTTTCTGCTAAATTGTGAAAAAATAAAAACTATCTTCTTACCTGTTCTAATTTGGACCGATTGCTTTCGAGGCCTGCTGCACAGCTATCATACTGGGATTTCTTTTCATCACACTCCTGGGTTAGTTCCTAGTATGAAAGGATAAATGATTGAATAAGTGAAAAACAAAGGCCTAAAATGTGGCTCTGAAACAATACATGCCCTTGTCAGTCTTGTAACTTAACTCTAAGCTTCTTGGCATACTTAAGAGTTATTTATACAACAATCAGACATTTGAGAATTATGACAGATGAAGATGCTGATAAAAATAATAGCTACCATGTATTGAGCTGTGTGCCAGGCTCTTTATTAGGAGCTGGGATACAACAGTGAGCAAAACAGCCAAAATCCTTCCCCTAAAGTATGTTCAGACAAGTAAACAGCCTGTTGAGTGGTATGATGGGCAAATGTAAGTGTTATAGGAGAACGTGGGACTCTCACAGGACTTAACCCAGGCTTGGAGATCAGCAGTGATAGAGAAACTGATACCTAAGTTGAGGGATGAAGGATTAGTACAACAGCTAGGGGGAAGGTGAACAAGGGAGGAGAATGTTCAGAAAAAAAGAACACTGTGTATAAAGGCTTGGAAGCCAGAGAGAACAATTCAGAACGAACAAGTAGTTTATTATACTGGAGTATGTCTGCAAAGTGCGAGAAGATGCTGAATGCTTTGGCAGGGGCTTGGTCAGAACTTTGGAAACCATGGTAGGGCCTTTGAGCTTACCCTTGTCAATAACTCAATCTTACCACAACCCCTTGAGGTAGGTATTAATACCCCCATATCATGCTTGGAGAAAGTTCATGGAAGCCACATACTTTGTCAAAGATTATACTGAAGAAAAGGAGTGTCAGAATTTGAATTCAGGCTGTTTGAGTAGTTTCAAACTTCCTTCTAATGTAATATTCTGGATTAGATAACCCAAAAATCATCTATAAATACTGGAAATGCTAAAAATATCTACAAATGCTTGATAAGGTGGAGCAAACATCTTTTCAAATCCAGAGCTGAAATGAACTTCTCAGGAAGGAAGAGGAATTACCAGGGCCAGAAATGAAGGATGACACACTGTGCCTGCCCTTGGGGAAGGAAGCTGGGAGCAGTCAATCTCAGTAATGGAGTGATTCTAATATCCAGGCAGGGCAGAAGACAGAGTGGGAAGTTAGAACTGAGAACCCCATAGAATCCAGGCTGTTTTTCAACCTGGGCGGCTGGGTGTAAAGGGTTAACACCAGGCTTGGAATGAAGCAAGCCAGCCTCAGAATGACCTTGGTTTCACGCAGCAGTTTTCTGGGGAAGGAACAGGAGAGTGAACACGAATGGGTAGTGTTGTGTGTGCTTCCTTTGTTGTGTGGGACTGCATCTGGTTTGGGGTGACTAGCATAGTATAAAAAACCGGTGGGGTGCTTGCTGTGGCAGCACATATACTAAGAATTGGAATGATACAGAGAAGATTAGCATGGCGTTTCTGTGCAAGGATGAACTGCAAACTTGTGAAGCTTCCATATCAAAACAAAACCAACCTGGTAGGAGCTGTCTCCAGGCCCAGCCCTAGTTTGTGGTGACATGGCTAAATGCACCAAGGTCAGAAGGTCAGAATCATATGTAAATATGGGCTCCATTATGGTGCCTCCTTCAGGAAAACGGTGAAGAAAATTGAAATAAGCCAGCATGCCAAGTACATTTGCTTGCTCTGTGGCAAAACCAAGATGAAAAGACGAGCTGTGGGGATCTGGCACCGTGGTTCCTGCATGAAAAAGGTAGCTGGTGGGCCGGACTTAACAACACCACTTCTGCCGTCACAGTAACATCTGAAGGAATCGAAAGACCAGTGGAAGCTCTACCATTTCAAACATTACTAGCCTATAATAAATGGGTTAACTTATGCTCAAAATTACTTTGGTTTGTTGTTACATTTATTAATAAGATGTTCTGATTTTCATTGTGTTAGTTGTACTGTCTCAAAAAAACGCTTGGAAGTTAAAAATCCTTTTAATTTTTATTGGAAAAAAGAAACTGGTTATAAAAAGGAGCTGTGGCTTTTATGTATCAAAGGGACCTACAGATATTTCAGACTCTTGTGGGTGATGGTCATTCCCACCGTAAATGGGAGCAGCTGGGACTCTCAATGAGATGAAGGTGCTATAGCAGATGGCCGCTTTTGTGTGTGTGTGCATGTGTGGCCTATGAGTCTGATGGCTACACTGATCAGAAAATGCACCTGTGCTGCTGCAGGGGCAGCTGGAGAGAAGGGCCCATCCTTGGGCAGATTCGTTCAAATCTACCCTTTCCTACACAAACTTCCAAGCCAAGACATAAACTCAAAATTAGCTCTGAGCTTGTCATATTCCCAAAACACCAGGAGAGACAACTGCAAAGCCATTCTGGAGGGACACATGCTCCATCCTAGCTGCTGGGATTCAGAAGACAAAACCCTACTAAAGACAAGCTCACAATCCAAAAGTATAAATACACAAGGAAACAATCAATCCTTATGTGTGAGGATCAGAAGATATAAGTGTGCTTGAAACAAAGTCATAAAAAAGGAACTGAAAACAAAAGATTAAGAAAAAAAGTACAGTGAGTAAAAATAGACAAAAATGAAAAAATAGTCATTGAAATTAAAAATTAAATGGTATAAATGTGAAATTAGACACAGCTCAGAAGATACAAAGAATGAACTCAAAAGCAGAGCTGAAGAAATTATTTAAAATTCGTCACTGAGAGACAAAAAAGATAAAAATATGAAGACAAAGTCATGCAATAGGGGACAGACATCCCCTGTCATCCCCACAGGGTCATAAGTATGCCTAACTGCAAATAATAGCAGTCGCTGGAGAATGAACTAAAGAAAACAGGGCAGAGAATATTTGAAGATATCATGGAGAATTCTCCTAGAATTAATGGAAGACAAAAAACACAAAATCCAGCAGAGCAAATACAACTAAATCTGTATTTAGATCACAGTAGTGAAATTGGACAACACCAAAGACAAAAATAAAAATATTATAACCAATTATAGGCAAGATATTACCTAAAAAGAAATGATAATTAAACTAATGGCAGACTTTTCAACACAAGAGAAACCAGAAAGCAATGAACAAACCATTATTAAAGAAAAAAAAAGGTGGTTTACTTATAGTGATGATTCTTTACTGAGAGAACTGCTAAAAGAAAAAAAACAAGGAAATTTAATTTCAGGAAGAAAGAAACTGAATCCAGAAGGAAGGGTTAAACTGTAAGAAACAATGGTGAGAAGGGTTAAATTTGTGAGTCAATCTAAGCAGGAAATGACTGTATAAAATAGTGATTATAAGTAATGACCACCCGACAACTACTTTAAAAAAATTTTTTTTTCAACGTTTTTTATTTATTTTTGGGACAGAGAGAGACAGAGCATGAACGGGGGAGGGGCAGAGAGAGAGGGAGACACAGAATCGGAAACAGGCTCCAGGCTCTGAGCCATCAGCCCAGAGCCTGACGCGGGGCTCGAACTCACAGACCGCGAGATCGTGACCTGGCTGAAGTCGGACGCTTAACCGACTGCGCCACCCAGGCGCCCCATCGACAACTACTTTTAGAGATGAAGAAATAGGGGTGCTTGGGTGGCTCAGTCGGTTAAGCATCCGACCCTTGATCTCAGCTCAGGTCTTGATCTCAGGGTCATGAGTTCAAGCCCTGTGTTGGGCTCCACTCTGGGTGTGGAGCCTACTAAAAACAAGAGAGAGAGGAAGAAATAAAATGGAAATAAACTACTAGAGGATAACAACACACATGTAAGGCAAGAGAGGGTGTTGAACTATTCTAAGGTCCCTGTATTGTTCAGGAGATGCCTACTAGATTTAGAGTTCATTAAGTCATGAAAATATATGTTAAAAATTTAGGAATAACAATACCAGAATAGAAGATAGAAAAGTAAATAAAGGGAGCAAAGAAGATAAAAGAACACAGAGTGATGCGTTGAAGGGCACGAAAGAAGCAGCAAAGAAAAAGCACAGTAAACCGGATGTACAAAACAGAAATAAATCCCTACGTATCAATACTAAAAGTAAATGTAAATGGTATTAAATACACCAATTAAAAGACAGATTCTCAAACTGAATGAAGAAACCACCCACATAAGATCTAGCTATATGCTGTTTATGAGACATGACAAAAGTAAGGACACAGAAAGCTAAAAGAAAACAGAAATAAAAAGATATACCAGGCAATCCTAATCATAAGAAAGCAAGCTGGCATACTTACATTAATAGCAGACAAAATAAAAATAAAAATCTTAGACCAAAACCTTAGCAGGAATAAAGAGAATAAAAAAATGATAAAATGAATAATTTACCAGGAAGGTTTTTTTTTTTAAATCAGGAATCTTTTTCTTAATTCTGGCAAAATAACATAAAATTTACCATTGTAACCATTTTTAAATGTACAGTTAAGTACTGAGTACACTCGCTGTGCTGTGCAGCCAATCTCCAGAACTATTCTCATCTTGTAAAACTGAAATTCTATATCCATGAAACAACTCCCCATTCACTAAGAAGCTTTAGGTGATACATTTGAAAAGCTTCATCTGATGAACACATAGAGAATCCAGTACTCAACAAATGGAAAATACACATTCTTTTTAATATCAAGTCACCAAAAAAAAATTAGGTTGGCCTCTGATCTCTCCATGGCCACACTTAACCCTGGAAGACAGTAGAGCAGTATACTTTAAAAATTCTCAAGGAAAGAAAGCACAATGTAAAGATTTTATGCTCAGTCAAGCTAATTTTTAAATATTTAAGGCAAGAAACTCTGGAACATGCAAGAACTCATTAGGGAATATTGTTCTTGTGAGGTTTTTTTTGAGGATTCTCCTAGAGGACAAATCACAGACAATAAAAATTAGGAAAAAGGGCAGTGAAAGGATTGGTAATGAGCACTGAATCTAATAATTACAGGCTTAACACTGAAAACACAAGTGGGAACCAGGGTAATAGAAGAGAATGTAAATGTTACATGCCCTGACAATGTAGAAATGATACTACAAAATCTCCAGGGAAGGGAAAGGGAAAAGAAAGTGGAAGGTAGAATAAATAAGCTGGTTTCCTC